TATCATTTTTTGAATTAAACTTGTTATTATAATTTATATACATAATAATTTAAAATAATTCATCATAAATTTACAAAATTTAATATTTAAAAAATAATTACATATAATGTACAAATATATGTACAAATTTTAACCAAAGAGTAACTATTACTTCATATCATTAATTTAATTTTAACAAAATATAGATATTTTTTAAATTTTATTATTTATAAATAAATTTCTTTATTAAATATTATTTCTTATGTTACATTATGTTACATATTATTTTCATTAATATTAAATGTACAATTATTAAATAAATTTTTTTGTTTAATAGTATACTGTTATTTGTGAAAACAGTCATTTATTAAAATAATTTAATGGAAGCTTACAATAATCTGCTATGGATATTTATATGATAAATGTACAAATTTGTAGAAGTACAAAACTAGATTTTCATAAAATAAATATCAAGACATATGTATGATTATTTTATATTTTTATAATACTATAATTATCTTTTAAATTTATACATTATCTTTGTTAAATTAATTGCAATTGTATAAATATATATATATTGTATAAATATATATATATATATATATATATGACAATAAAAAAATACTTTGCATCTCACATGAAAAATAAATATTTTCTCAGCAGAAAAATATCTTATCTACCGATATATTCTGCAGCATAATAATCACAAATAACCAATGTTTCATAATCAATGTAAGGTTCTTCATGTCCGTCCACAGGTATATAACATACTTGATGGTTTGGTTGTATCTTTCCTATATGATATACCCCTTCATGTAAAACTCTGCCTATAAAAAGGGCATAATCGTCTTCGGATTCACCAGCAGGAAGAGCATATAAAGGAATACTGCCTTCCCATGATTTTACCCAATTTACATCTCTACCACATAATATTTGAAAATCTTTTTTATCATGAGAAGCTCCACCCCATGCAATTGTACACACATTATTCCTAATACCACCAGGTGTGAGTGAATCTCTGTGATGAGTACGACCTATGTATAAACCATCTTCTGAGGCCATTACAGCATTTTGAGGAATACCAGATGATTCATTATAATCTACCCAAAAATGAGAAGTTTCTATCAATTGTTGTCTGACAACAATGGATGTACATGGTGATTCTAAAAAGAAAATGAAGAGTGACATATTTATTGAATATCAAAATATTATTTTAAAATTTAATAAAAAATTTAATATATACCTTCTATCAAAAATTCACCAGTTGCACCCCAAGCAGTGCTTACCCCTATATAATTTATAACAAATGGATTTCTATCTTTATACGATAAAAAAACTTCACCATTTAAATGACCAACATTTACTGTTCCATCACAAAACCATCTAAGAACATCATATTATTATAATTTTCTTATCATTTAGTTAAAATTAAATTTTTAATAACTAAATAAGCTTTATAATTTTTCTTACTGAATCCAAATATTGCACATATGATGAGCACCTAATATGTTTTGTGTTTCTGCTTCTGCCACATCTTGTTCTTGGTTATTTCTTTTTATTGCTGACATTGTGTTTCCCCATCCTCCAATAATAATCTATGAATACAATAAATACAATATAATTATACTCGCATATGTATATGATTTTTAACATTAATATTTATTTTCTACAAAATATAAACATACTTCATATACATTTGAATCTCCACCCAAATGGGTACGCAAGGAAATTCTTGCATCATGAGCAGCTTGTACACATAGCCTAAGACGAGATTTTGTGATGGGAAAATAACGATATTCTGAACTATCAGGTGTAATAATCCTAACTAAAAAAAAGATCGATTTTTTAAAATGGTTAAGCTACACTACGTAAAACATTTTATTAAATTATTTTTCACAATGTCACAAAGCATAATTTTTTCATATATTATATAATATTATAATTTATATATTGTTTAACCTATTTTGATTGAATTTTTTATAATCACAAAGCACATCATACAAAGTCCACGTGTTGACATTTATCATCTTGTCAGTTTACTCACTAAAAGACATGGTTGTTGTTTTGATCTCAAGATAATTTTGCTTTATTGTTTAATAATGCAATTGATAAAACAATTACACTTAATAATAACAAATTGAAAATGTACAATCGGATTTGGATTTTCTAATTGATGGTTTTGGTTATGTTTTCTGTATGATCTCATCGCAAAAATATAATTTGTTACATTCTCATTCAATCAACCTCGCTTAGACAAGTAAAATGCCATGCATGAGATCGAACTTCTCTTTAATTGGCGCTGTCCCAAGATATCATACGCATGCGCAGCATATAATATAATTTTATTGGCATAGATTCAATTTTGATCGCGGGAAAACGAGAAAATGCAATTTTTTTTTCAAAATAATGTCATGTTAAAATGAAATCATATAGTAAAACATCTAATTGTTATTAGTGATTTGTTATCATAATATACTAAATATATAAAGAAATATAAAGCTATGACTACAACCGGTATTACCACATACCTTTACTACTTTCGCATCAAAAATCTTTCTGGCTTCGAAAGTGTAACACACCTATTCGTATCTTATTATTCCTTGTTTATCACAAATATATTCTTTTCATTCAATTCTTATTTTTTATTTGATTTCAACTTTTCTTAATATTAGCTTTAAAATTATCGATTAGCGATGTATAATAAGTATGCAATATAATACATGTCTGTTTCATGCAGTTCATAAAAAACCTTATATTCTACATGTGACAACATCAAAGAAATATCTATTTGGAATTAGTTTATCGTCCACTTTCCATTTTCATTTTACTTTCTTCGCGTTGTACTAATGCCTGGCATTGTTACGCGTATACAACTTTTACCATTTCTTACCACAGCTATTTAATAGTTTCTTAGAAAACAACAATTTGTATCTCGACCTAGACATGTCTTTTTTCGCAGAGAATAGAAAACTATGTCATCAGGACGCTTATTTGTTACAGTTACAATTTAATTTGAAAGAAAGAAGCATATACTAAGACAAAAAATAATCTACAACTTTCACTTTTTTTTTTATAGCACTTCCAAGTTCATTTTTTTCGCATAAAGTATAAATTTCGTTAAGAAAAAAATGAAAAATAAAATTGTATGTCAAATCTTTTGTAATAAATAGAGCAATATGTTTTATTTGTGATTCACGACAACTTACAAGTGTCCTAGGTCATTGTCATTAATGTTTTGGAATTCAGTTGATCGATGCACATGGTCGACGTACGTTTCAAATGAATACGCTCGAATACGCAGAAAGTAGAAAGCATTGCAAAAGATAATAACAAGGATGTAGCAATGTCATTCTGGTTTTCATGTCAGAAAGTAGCATGCGATTGATTTATTTTGATCTACATATTGCCATCTTATATCTTTTGAATCATTTTTTATTAAAAATTTATTATAAATTTTTTTTTGATATTTAATAATAGAAATGAAATATTGTATAAATTTTTTTAATTAAATTTTTGATATTAAAAATTATTCCTTTCAAGACTTTTATTCAAATTAGAAGTTCTATACAAAATACATTAGAAAAATATATTTCTCTCTTTATTAATATCAAATGTCAATATGTCATTAGATCTTAATGGAACAAGTTAAAATATTGGTAAAATATTGGATTAATTTCGTAAAACATTCGGATACGGATATTATAAAGAGTTTATATTATTTAAATTACGATAAATAACTCTTTTTATTTTGTCAATTTTAATAATTATTGTTTTTAATAAGTATTTAAAAATTATATTTTAAATTATATTTCAATTATTATGAACATTTCACTATCAATTACTACTATACAATATTGGTAATTGATGCAAATTAAATTTCGTATTAGAGAAAGTCCAGTTTTGCATAATAATCAATTGTAGTGAGAGGATCAATCTTTTATTAAAATAAAATAAAATGATTTATACCATTTTCTTTTTTTAATGTGACTTGTTTTCTATCTAATCCTGAAACTTTAAGGAAATAGAATCTTATTGTTTTATAATTTATTAAATTACACACTTTGTCAATTCTTCATTATAATATCCAAATTTTAATTATTTTTGGTTATCAGAGATTAAAATAAAATTAATTCATATATTACAATGATGTCATCCAATTGAAATTCAATTGAGATTGAGAATTATCGAGCAGCATTCATCGTAACATCAAAGGGAGTCACGAAACTTTCTTTTGTATGAAAGGTAATTGATATTCAAGAATCATACGCGTTTTATGCGAGATGTAAACTGAGTAAAATGTTCATTTCGACGTTTACAAATTTTGAAAAAAATATTTGTGTTTATGACTTTAATGTGAAAGCAGGTTTCAAGATCTTATTTTATTTTTCTTTTATCGCGTATAAACGACTTAATAACTATCATTATAATAATTTTACGAAACGATTATTCAATTTTATGTTTCTAGACATTGTTTTATATGTTATTTATTATACACACGTCGAAATATTTATGTTTTTAAAAAATATTTTATTTTAAAAAATATGAGGATATAAAAAAGAATAAAAAAACGACAATTAAAAAATATAATTATAACTTTAAATAACTTTAAATAATTTGTTAATTTAAGTATTCAGATGTGATTAAATTTCTTAAATTTTTTGGTAACACTTTTTTAATAAAAAATGATAATATAATTTCTATTATGAATCATTTATTATTAAAATAAATGTTTGTGGAAGAAAGATATAAGATAAGTAATGCATATATTTATATAAAATTATGGAAATAATTTATCATTGATTATAATAATAATCATAATGCAAAGATATAACGTTTTTTTTTCATTGGAGAAAAGTTATCCACCCACCGTAACAAATATCTTAACCTTGGCAATGATAATGCATAGAAATCGGGGCAATATTTTTACGAAAGCTTGCAATGTCTGGTTGCACGGGAAACTCTCGATCAACTAATTGAAGTTGAAAACACGAAGATTATAATCAGATGCGAACTAAATCCATTAATAGTAATATTAATTAAATTATACTTTTTATGCAAGTACTTACGTACAATATATTTGTATAGTAGTAACGTATTTATATATTTTTGTAGTAAATTTCTTTTTTTTATAATCTATAAAGAAAATATTATAATTAGATCAAATTATTATAATTTCATTTTTATGAATTATTGATATATATATTATATTTATTAAATAAAAAATATATTATAAAATATATTTTTAAAAATACATTATTTTAATACCAATATAAATTATATTAAAAATTGAATTCTTCGTTATACTTCACTCTCTAATTCTTCGTTCAATAAAATTATATTATTTCATTTTTTTATTATATGCTGCAATTTTTTTATTATATCTATTTTCCATATCAAAATTAGTGAGACCTGTATATGGACATAAAAACATAAAGTCATTATTCGAAGCAAAGCCGAAATTCAAGGAAAAAGATATTTTTTTTATATAAATTAAAAAGTCTAATTACGCTAGGTAGGTCATGCTCTTCATAGTTCACTGAATAGTCAGTTGCACGCGGACTGACCCATTGCTTTCCCCGTAAAAGTGAAGAGTTAAATCAGGTTGACTCTTTCTCCCTGCTCTGTATGGTCGAGTACCAACCAATGTCCTATCAGTATGTGCACATCAAGATCGCTTTTACCTTTTTGTGGGCGAGGAGGGATTTCTAAGAGTATAAAATGGTAAGGAATCGATTCGCATATCAGTATGTGTGTAGTTTCAATTTGTTATAAGAAACTTAGTTCGAGCTTATTAAAATAGTGTGACTTTTTTTAACAACCTATCTTCCTTTTGTCATGGCGAATATTATTTCGCTCGTGAGTACTGAACAATCTGTAAAATAATTTTTATGAAATTGTGATATTTGAATTTCAATTTGATCGAATAAAATTTCAATATATTATTTATTATCAAGTATATATGTATATTGAAAATATATATCCGCATTATTATTTGTTATTGATGATTATTAATTTATAATAAAATTATTCTATTTTTAGATTGTAGTAATTCTTGGTTGCATCGTACTGGTCCATGCGGAACCAACAACAGCAGTTAACAGTATGTATATTACTTGTGCTTTCTCTTTATATGTTATGAAAATAAATTTCTTATATCTGTATTAAATTGTTATAGGATTTTAAGACAATAAATATTTAAGTTATAATATTAAGATAATAATATTATAAAAAATTAATTAATTAATTATTCTTTATTATGCTATTATTTTTAATTGCTTTTATGAAATTTTAATTTAACTAAATATTTTTTGACATTATGATAAATAAAATCTTTTCTTATTTCATGAATTTATAGGCTATCCCATTATAGGAGAAAGCAATGGTTTCGAGTATAATAGCAACATCATCAACAATGGTGCTTACATGGCTGACAAAGAAAGTCATAGAGAAAACATGAATTTTTACGGTGGAGGAAATAGTGGACATTTATTGACCAACAGCAGGAATCACGGAAATCTCGAAGAAAGTTTAACAAGCAATTCTTATAACGGATTTTCACCTAGTTCCCACAATACTGACTTCTCTACTTACTCTAATACTGGTAATCGTGAAAATCTCGCTTCGAATTCCTATTTTGCAAATAATGCTGCTCAATCCAGTTTTGGTAGTTACACGAGTAGCAACAGCAATGGAGATTCTACCTTAAAAACTTATACTCATGGCAATGATCAAGCCGGATCTGATTTCAATCAATTCTCTATTAACAAACACAAGAATCTCTCTTACATGAAATTTTCCGATAATTTAACCGGTGCTACTAGCGCGGGAAATTATCCTGAACTAGTTACAGAGAATTCTTCTTTCAGAGAAGAGTACTCTGGCGATTCTTTTAGGAATCACGCGTCTAATGATGCAGGATTCACGGATGGTATTGATCAAGTCTACAACAGAGAAGTTCCTAATCTATTTAATAATCATAATAATGATTATTCATATGGAAAATATAAAGATACTACATTTAATATAGGAGGAAGCAATAAATTTATGAATGATGTATATTCCTTCCATCCTGAAACCCGTTACGTGCGAGGAAGTCATGGAAACATAGGACATGATTACAGTTCTTCAATGATTTTATCTAATCCTGGAAATAATCTTTTCGGCAATATTCGTGGAAATAGCGGTGTTTATGGAAAATTAAATAAATATAATAAATATTTAGGTGATTATATTTCAAATGGTTTAAACTATCTTTCCAAGGAACAAGATATTGATTATTTATTTGGTAATCATGGTAAAGGTAATGGAAAATTGGCTACAATTAAAGAAGGCAGACCAAATAATTATTTTGGTGGATCTTTGTATGTCAATAAAATTGTCGGAAGTCATAAAAGTAAACCAAATTTTATGAATTCATATCCTAGTAGTTCATCGATAGCGTATTCGTCTACACCGAATTTACATAGTGGTAACAATTATGCTGATAGGCCTGTGTTAAGAAGATATCGAAGCAATAGTTATGTACCAGGACATGCTAGTTCATATTCTGGTTATTACTAATAATTTTTTAATAACTTAAATGTGTATGATGGCCGTGTGTTTTGTATATATTTATTGTATGAAATATTTAATATTAATTAAACGTTATTTGTTGTTTAAAATAAAATTATTGATACGAATACATTCATTCTTTTTTTTTTTTTTGTTACATTTTTAATATTTAATTTTAATTATGTCGGAGTTCGAGTAACTTTTGGTTTAGCTAAAAATACTTCTTCCTTATCAAGTTCTTTCTCTTGTGTCCATGAAACTTTATTATCTGTAACTTTGATGCTACTTTCTGGATTCCTATAAAAAAAGTTCTGATTTCGAATAATCGATTATATTTTAGATAAAAAAGTTAACAGTAAATAAAATGCAATTTATTCAAAATTTTATAATGTATAAAAATTTTTAAATTTTAATATAAAAATATACAATGGTGCATAAAACTAACTTCGTGCATTTTTATCAAAAGCAAGATCGAAATCTTGACTTACAGTGATGCTATACTGCTGAGTTTTTCCATTACTGAAAAATATCAAAGTAATAATAAAATAATAAGTTTTAAATATATATTATTTTAAAATTTTAAAATTTTATATAATTATATACATATCTATAATAAATATAAGATTCATTTTAAATATATATTTTTTTTTCGAGATCAGGATTAAATATATGTTTAAGAGAAAGTTATAAAAACTTTCACTATAATATAGATAGTAGCTATAATAAATTTTACTTGTTAAATATTATAAGACCATTAGAAATTTAGAAATTTCAAAAAATTAATTGAATATTAAGTTTATTTATTTATTTTGATAAAGTCAATAAAAAAATCATTTTAAAAATCTTCTTACCTGTTGTTTCAACTTCACTTTCAATTCCCAAAAGCATTGAAGATGCAATGGTTGTTTTACTGCTTTCCCTATAAAAAATAAATTTAGAATTTTTATTATATTATTTTTATTTAAAAAAAGAAATATAACAAACTTCGAAATATGATTTTCATAAAGGTATAAAGCACTTTCGTCATGAATCTCTTTTAAAAACATTTTATCAGTATTTGAATTCCATTTTTCATCTGTTACTTGTTCTTTATAAATTTGCAGGTCCTTAAAAAATGTTATGAATTTTAATTAGAAATTTTTTAATTTTAATAGTTAATTTCTAGGTAAATACCTCAACAGGGGAAGAGTTTATTTCAATTACATGAGAATTTGGATGTGATTTTGTTTTTTTAAAATTTTGCAGTACTATAATATTATTTTTATTTTTTTCATCACACTTTTCGTTTAATAATTTTCTTGAAATGTATGAAAAATTTTTATAATTTTCATAAAATAAAAAATATATTTAAATTTATTAATTAAGAACGAGATATTATAGTAATACCTTTGTAAAATTTCTTCATGTTCAGAACATATATTTTTAATTGATTATTATGCACAACAGATTCCATTGCTTCTGCTTGGAATTGTAAAAATGATAGTGCACTGGAAATTATTCCGGTTTTTTAATTATTTTTGGTAAAATTGTATAACATGATTCTAATAATGATTCTCCACATAATTCTCCATAATTATTTTTTACTGGATCGTTTTCTTCTAATTGATTTTCCAACACATCAATTTCTTCCTGTAAATGTTTTTTTTTTTTTTATTTTAACAAGTAATTAAGACATTTTATAAATTATTACTCACATTATCATTATCTACTATTTCTTCATCTTCCACTTTAATAGTAATTTCACCTCTATGTATTTTCAGAATGTAATCCAAATGTTCCTGTTTATTTAAATTTTATTTAAATATTTTTATTTAATATGTTATAACTTTCATTACATATATAAAAAAATATTTATACCTTATTTCACCAGTTTTATATTTACTAAATTGTTCTATTACAGATGAAAATTTGAGTTTTTTTTGCTTCTTCATTGATTACATAATTTGTTAAAAAATTATTTAATGCTCCGTTAATATATGGCAATGTCTAATAATAAATATACATTATGACTATAACTATATATATTATTATAATTTTAAATAATAAGAAATGTATTATACCGATACATAATCCATTAAAAGCAAATCAATTAAAGTTGAAATAAGTAGAGATGCCATAGCTGATGCTCTTTCTTGAGCAGCTTGATGTAAGGATAAATTCATTAAAAGAGCTGTAGCGTATTCTAATCGATAAGAATCCATAATACGACATTGATCACGTAAATGATGGATCAACCATTCCACTAATCCATTTTCTATCATATAGATTCTTTGTTGTTTGCGTAAGGATAATTTTTGTAGCATTGCAATTATCATATTACAAGTTATTGTATCTATGTTATTATCAGAAATACTATTTAGACACTTAAATATCTAAAATATTAATTTTGAAATTAATAAAAAATTGTGAAATATTATAATGAAATAAAAATTAATATATCAATATACCATATTAACAACAGTAGAATCAAATGATAAATAATCTCTGCCGCATCTGAACGATGCTAAAGCGTTCAATAATCTTGTAATTGATTGCTGTAAAGGATGTGGTATAATAACGTTTTGTGGAGTTAATAAATATGGCAGAATAGATTTGCCTTTGTAACTAGCGATTTGACTATGAAGTCCTAATAAATCTTTACTTATATATTCGTGCATCGTTTCATCTCTTTCTCCAGGTTGACTAAATGTTATTTTCTAAAATATTGAAATTTATAATGTATTAAAGTTTTAATAACTATTAATATTCTTGTCTTACCCTTCGTAATGCTTGCAAAAGAAATAATTTTGTTTTGATGCTTCCATTAATTAAATGTAACTTAATTTTTTTGAAATCTAATAATTTTGGAGGAATGAACGTATTGTATGAATTTGAATATTCAATAAGTTTCATTTCAGAATGAGATGATTTATCTAATAAAAATTCAGAGGAACACTGTGAAGTTATAAAATATAACATGAATAAATAAAATATATAATAAAAATTTAATATTAATTATATACAAAAATTAATATAATATTGTATACATATTGTATATCGAGTTCTTATTGCTTACATGTGAACTGTCTTTTATATTTTGATTAAACAAATCTGGAAAAATTTTTATGCAAGTTTCTAGCATAATTTGAAAATCAATTGCTATTCCTTTTACTGAATCTTCTAAAGCTGTTGTTAATACTCTTGCAATACTCATCAATTTATGATAATCAGTATGGAGTTTATGAAATCTTACTTTTAATTTTTCATAATTACAATGCACATTAGATAATTGAGATTTTGCTATAGCCAATTCTTGAGTGCACTGCATTAATTTTTTATTTTTTTTTGTAAAATGTGATGAATAAATTTCTTCTTCAAAGTTTATTGATACAGTTTGTATACTTCTATAAAAAGAATAAAAATAAGAATATAATAAATATTATCAAAAGTATTATATTAGAAAAATACTAAATATGCCTCACTTTGATTTCTGATTAAACTTTATATCATCATATAAATTGCATTGATTTTCAACTTTACTATCTTCTAGAATATTGGAATATTTCTATCATTTGGTATGATTGGTATATTAATATTTTTAATTGTCTTTCTTGTAGTTATATCTTTTTTGGAATCTTCTATTAGAGGTGTACAATTTGAAGAAAATTTGTTGGAATTTTCACTATATTTTAGATCACTAAAAAACTTAAAATTGCATATATCTTTATAAAATATTTTATATATAGATCTTCAATTATTCTTATTAAATAGATTATATCTTTATAATAATTTAAATTTTACTTACTTGTTGTTTGCATTTTTCGAGAAAAAGTTGTAAATGTTCTGTCAATCTATCTGACCAACTTTTTTCAAATATTTTAGAAAGAAATGGTTCTACATATGGATTCTCCATAAAAGGTAATGCAAAATAAGGTCTTAATTCTGTAATGTTTTCTAATTCCTTACCTATTGTATTCAGAAATTTGCGTAATTCTTCCATACTATCATTCATATTCTTTTCTACTTCAGTCATAAAATTCTATATGTTATTAATGTTAAATCAAAATCACTATCAATTTATTACATTTTTTTGTTCAATTATTTATTAATCTTATTTTTATAATTCATATTAAAATTAAAATTAAAAAAAAATAATTTTATATCTAAAAAAAAAAAAAAAAACTTAAGGAATAAATACAAAAAAATGATAAGCCTAAATAATAATGATTACCTCTTCATACTCAAAATCTTGTAGATTAAGTGATGTCATAGAATTATTTATATTTATTTTATCTGAATTATTACAGAAATAAAAAAATTATTTTAAATTAATAATATATAGGGATTATACTTATTTATATATTTATATTGTTTATATAGTTATATGTATACCATTTTCTTTATGCCATTGTGACTTCAATATGTGTTTAGGTAATATTGCAAAATATACATATATATGTAACATCAAAATTTTATAAGCTTTTGTTTGTTTTGCATCTTTAGGTACTATCATGTTCCATAACTAAAAATGAGAAATTTTAATATAACATTTAAATAATATTTTTATTCTTTTGTTAAAAGAATATATTTTTATTATACTTTAAAGAATGTCTTCCAATTTCCTGTTTTGTAATTTATCATCAATTCTTTACATAAATTTTCATAAATCTCGCTCTCGGATTGTAAATCTTTTTTAAAATATTTAAAACCTTTTATTGTTGCTTCTATCATTAATGCACCGGCAGTATTATCGAAATTATGATCTATAAGGAACTGTAGATTCTTTTTTATATTTAAAAATAAAATATAATAATAATATTTTGTTATATAGCTTTATCAATATAAATTTATAATTAAATTTATAAATAATATAATTTATTTTACAATATATTAATCCAAAGAACATACCTGATGAACAAGTTTTAATTCCTTATTATCCATTTGATTTATTTCCCAATTTTTATCCATTTTTGCTATTTAATTTGATAAATTTAACATAATGAAAATAAAAATTGTTTTATATTACTGTATATTTAAGGAATCGTGGTTTACGTACAGTTACGTGAAGGATATTTCCTTCCATAAAATTGATTTTACGCAAACGCATCTCTAAGCAATTAATGATGTTTGGATTTACATATTTAGTAGAATAACATTTTTAAAAATTATACGCGATATAAAATATCGTATTTCTATAAAAAAAAAAGAAACTTCTAATTTATTATTCAATCGAATACAACATTAATTAAAAAAAAGCTTAATTATCAAATGCTTATAATTATTACTATAAAAAGAATAAGTTTTTCTTACATCTGATATGTATGAAGTTTTAAAAATTTTATAACAAAAGCTTCTCGATTACTTACACACATATAAATATATAATATCGATATAATAAAATTTGTGCATATTATTAAACAGAAAAAATTAGTTTGCATACAAAATAATGTATAAAATTTTATTACAGATATATACAGTACATTTGAATACATATAAAATTAGCGCTCAAAAATATTTACTTTTTTATAAGTAATAAAACATTGTCAGATATATTTTATAAATAATTTATTCAGTATTTTATTTTATTTACTAAAAAATGGAAGAACATAAAAATATATTTTGTAAATATATGATTTCAGAGGTTTGTTTTAATACAAAATTTATTTATTGAAGGTTATGTTTTAGTTTTATTAAGAATGTTGTTTTTCAATTTTTATAGATACCTAATTTAGCTATATATATTCCAAATTTTATTACACAAGAGGAAGAAGTTGAAATAATGAAATGTATAAATAGTGTTCCTTTACCAAAATGGACTCAATTAAGTCATCGAAGATTGCAAAATTGGGGTGGTATTCCACATCCAAAAGGTATGATAGCAGAAGATATACCAATTGTAAGTATTTTATAATAATCTTATATTTTAAAAATATAAATAATTTGTAAATATTTTATAATAACTCTTAAGTTTTCAGTGGCTTCAAAAATATATTGATAAAGTGTCATCCTGTAATATATTCGAAAAAAATAAATTACCTAATCATGTTTTAATTAATGAATATCTATCCGGTCAAGGAATAATGGTATAAAGTAAAAAAAATTAAAATATATGCT